CAGCAGCGTTAGGTTTAGGAATCCCGAGCAGGCTTCCTGCCTGCCTTTCTAGGAGAACGGCTCTGGCCAGGGAGGCTTCAAAACATTAACATATTCAAATAAAGTGCCCCACGGGAGTTGGGGCCGGCGTGCCGTCAGACGTCGCTTCTCGTCCCGAGATCCTTTGTCACTGGGGTCACCCGGCTTACGGAGCGGCCATCCTGAGACCTAAGATGGGAAACGCCCATCTCTTCTAAAAAAAGCAAAATAATTGCCAGGTTGGTGCAGGTGCCAGTGGTCCAGCTACTCGGAGGCGAGAAAGGTGAAGAAGGAGAATTGCTTGAACCCAGGAGGCAGAGATTTCAGTGAGCCAAGATCATGCCACCCCACTCCAGCCTGGGCAACAGAGCAAGACTCTGCTTAAAAAAAAAAAAAAGGTATTCATCTGCAGCCAAAGCGATAGGTTTCAGCTTAAGATATAATTTTGGGAGTCACTGATATATGCATAAGATTTAAAACCATGGGAATTAAAGACACCCAGGGAGCATGTAAGAAAAACAGGTCACCTTGAAGAGCACCAATATTGAAGGAGGAGAGAGAAAAAAACAATCAGAAATGGAAGAAATACTGAGAATACTGCTGTTGAGAAATAGCAATCAAAAAAAAAGAAAGAAAACCATAACCACCCTTTCGGTAATATCCTAGAAACCAAAGAAAGCAATTGTTGTAAAAATAAAATAACAACCAAAGGTATCAAATGCAGCTCGGAAAATGAGGACTGAAAAATATTTTTCTATTTAATAACCAGGAAGCCATTTGTGGCCTTATTTATTTATTTATTTTAAGATGAATTCTTGCTCTGTCACTCAGGCTGGAGTACAATGGCGCAATCTTGGCTCATTGCAACCTCTGCCTCCCAGGTTCAAGCAATTCTCCTGTCTCAGTCTCCTGAGTAGCTGGGATTACAGGGGCATGCCACCATGCCTGGCTAATTTTTGTATTTTTAGTAGAGACAGGGTTTCATCACATTGGTCAGGCTGGTATTGAACTCCTGACCTCAGCTGATCCGCCCGCCTCGGCCTCCCAAAGTGCTGGATTACAGGCGTGAGGCACCACGCCCGGCTGACAGGGTTTTCTAAGTCTTTGTGTATACATATGGCCTTTGCAAAAATTGATAGCGAGACTGCAAGACCTCTTAAACTAATGGATCTTAATCTGATTATCATGTAATAACGCTAAAGGCAAATAATAACTTCCATCATTAATTAGTGCATTTATTGACTGAATCAACTTGCAAAGGCAGTCAGAAACTGAAGTTTTGTTTTGTTTTGGTTTTTCAGAACTGGTCTCACTTTGTCCCCCAGGCTAGAGTACAGTGGTGCAATCTTGGCTCACTGCAGCCTTAACCTCCAACGTTCAAGTGATCCTCCTGCCTCAGCCCCTGAAGTAACTGGGATTATAGGTGTGTGTCACCATGCTTGTCTAATTTTTTGTATCTTTAGTAGAGATGGGTTTCAACATTTGACCAGGCTGGTCTCGAATTCCTGACCTCATGATCCTCCCGCCTCCATCTCCCAAAGTGCTGGGATTACAGGTGTGAACCACTACGCCTGACCCAGGCTTTCCTAAAGAAACTTATAGGCTTTTTGGCCAGGCTGGTCTCAAACTCCTGACCTCAGGTGATCTGCCCGCCTCAGCCAAAGTGCTGGGATTACAGGTGTGAGCCACCACACCCAGCCACATGAGATTTTTTACTAATGCAGATTCTGGGATCCTTTTGAATCCTATGAAATAGGATTTTACAGAGGTGGGACCTGAGATCTCAATTCATACCATTATTATAGCAGGTTCCTCTGATTCTGAAGCTGCTAGTTGGGTGGGAAGCACTCATCTGCATTCATTCTTGCCTCTAACTTTCTAATTTAGCTTCTTTACCCACACATCCCAAAATTGTCCTTAATAAGGCCACAAGGCCTTACTGCACTCTAGCCTTGCACTCTAGCCTGGGCAACAAAAGTGAAATCTCAAAAAAAAAAAAAGAGTTTCAACAGAATATGCAAGCATCAACTACTGCTCTGGAATAGTTAAGCAAAACTAGACCCCAGCATTGAAACATTTTCTCACCTTCTTGAAAAATATCCTCTCCTCCAACTTGATACCACATCCCTACCCTCTGTATTATTAGCAGGACGAACAATAAAACAACCCAGGCTAGGCTTGGTAGCTCATGCCTCTAATCCCAGCACTTTGGAAGGCTGAGTCAGGAGGATCACTTGAGGCCAGGAATTTCAGACCAGCCTAGGCAACACAGAGAGACCCGTCAAAAAAAAAAAAAAAAAAAAATTATATATAGATATTACATTATATATAATATAGATAAAAAATATATTTTTTATATATATATATATTAGGCTGGGCGTGGTGGCTCATGCCTGTAATCCCAGCACTTTGGGAGGCCAAGGTGGGCAGATCATTATGAGGTTTGGAGTTCAAGACTAGCCTGGCCAACATGGTGAAACCCCATCTGTACTAAAAATACAAAAATTAGCCAGGCATGGTGGTGCATGCCTGTAATTCCAGCTACTCGGGAGGCTGAGGCACGAGAATCATTTGAACCTGGGAGATGGAGGTTGCAGTGAGCTGAGATCAAGCCACTGTACTCCAGCCTGGGCAAGAGTGAAACTCTGACTCAAAAAATAATAATAATAAAATACATACATTATATAATTTATATTTTATACTTATATAAAAAATAGGGCCTGGTGGTATGCACCTGTCTTGAGCCCAGGAGTAACAGTGAGTTGTGATCCTGCCACTTCACTCCAGCTTGAGGGACAGTGTAAGCAAGACCCTATCTCAAAAAAAAAAAAAAGGCAAAAAACAAAAAACTTGTAGAGGCCAGGTGCAGTGGCTCACGCCTGTAATCCCAGCACTTTGGGAGGCCGAGGTGGGTGGATCACTGGACATCAGCCTGACCAACATGGTGAAACCCTGTCTCTACTAAAAATACGAAAATTAGCTAGGTGTGGTGACACCTAATCCCAGCTACTTGGGAGGCTGTAATCCCAGCTACTTGGGAGGCTGAGGCAGGAGAATCGCTTGAACCTGGAAAGTGGAGGTTGCAGTGAGTTGAGATTGTGCCATTGCACTCCAGCCTGGGGGACAAAAGCAAAACTCTGTCTAAAAAAAAAAAAAAAAAAAACACCTGTAGAAATGGAACTTATAAAAAGACTATGAAAATTATGTTTTAAAAAAGAGGTCTGGGCACAGTGGCTCAGGCCTGTAATTACAGCACTTTGGAAGGCTAAGGAGGCAGGAGAATTGCTTGAACCCGGGAAGCGGAGGTTGCAGTGAACCGAGATCATGCCACTGCACTCCAGCCTGGGCGACAGAACAAGGCTCCATCTCAAAAAAAAAAAAAAGATGTGGAACAAATATCTGTTGGACTGCATCAACTCAACATAGTGACAATATCTCTAATACAGCATGCCACAGTGGTCAAATCCCTTTAACATTTCAATATTATGACAACTACACTCATATATAAACATTGAAGCACATTTGAGGATTTGTCATTTAAAGTTAATGTAAAACTGCAATTTATAGATAAGAAAAATCCATAGTCATGTAACATATTTTTTCTCATCCTCAGTGTAAATGATACTAAATATCCTAGAATAAAATGTAGTTTACATAATCTGTTACCATAATTTTGAGAAAGAATGGTTAACTCAATACCCTTTCAGTGGCTTTCCTCCACTTATTCTTTCTTCTGCCCACACAGTTGCCTACTCACAGACATTTTTAAAAGTCTTTTAGAGCCATCTTTGTAAAGAAAACAGCGGTCTTCTCTAAAAACAATGTAATTTAGCGATTTTAGTCACTGTTTTCTCCAACTTCACAGAAATCATAGACTCTAATGGGCAACTTAAGTTCTTTAGCATTATTCTACTAGTCTTATTTCTGTAAACCAAAGATCTGTAGGTAAATTGGTAAGTCGGCAATCTGTCAGCAGAAAGTCTTTGTTGATTGTAACAACTGAAATAATCTTAGCAAATCACAATGCAGGATGATTTAAGGAATCCTAGAAGAGGTATAACATTATAAGACATTCTCACACGAAATGACAAACTATAATGTACATGTGGACTCTTGTCAGAGATCAGAGAGTTGTGTCCAACCACTTTCCAAATGCTGTACAGACATCTAGAAATCAAGCAGGAGATCCTTCTACTTGGTTTTTCCACAGCTGAAACACTGAACAGCTGTTGTAGGTACAATTCTGGGAAGGTTCTGGGAGAGATGAGTAGGCCCTAAAGGGGTGTCCTAAAAGCATGCATACATCTCCAGAAACTCAGACTGAGTACGACGCCCCCCCACCACTTCAGGGCCTGCAAAACCCAGATGAATCGGACCCCAAATCCTGCTCTCTAGAAAACTGGGGTGAGGTGGCATGGAAGGCGAAGGCACTCAAACACTATGATCCTTATATTCGAGTTTTGAGGCATTTTCTCACCCATGTTTCACCCAGAGCGTTGCATACAGCAGGTGCTCATTTACTGTTTTGGTGACCGACTGAATAAATAAATGTGAAAGACTGAGCCGAGCCTGGGGCTACAGGTGCACAATCGCCGTGGTCCCCTGGCCCAGCCGCCCACCACCACCCGCGCCAGAACCCGGTTAAAGAGGTCACCCTCTCTATCTATGTCGCTTCAAGCAGCAGTGGCACGCAACGGTCAGTCAGCCCTGGCCAGGCTGCGCCCTCCCCCAGGACAGCACTCACCGTTGGTGTAGGGAGACCCCGAGGCCAAGGCGGCTCCGTTCTGGGCCTGGAGGCTGGTTGCGGCACCGCCGGAGGCCGGTATTCCCGGCTGGGACATGACGACGGCGGTTATCTGTGTTGGAAGGGGCTGGTTGGGGTCGACAACAGCGCACAAGAAGAGAGCTGAAAGACCACTGCTGAAAGCGGAGGGAGGAAGCTAACAACTTAAGACTGAAGACTGGGAGAAGAGAGGGGGGCGCATTAAGCCCGAGGCATGGCGCCGCACTCTCCCCAGGCCACCGGCGGCCACGGCCTAGCCTGGGAGATGAGGCTTGGGAGTCGGGACCGCGGGGCCACGAACGCCCGGCTAGAAGGCGGCAGCCAAACCTGGAGAGAAGGAGGGAGGCCTTGGCCGGAAGTGCCTGTCAGCCGCCGGCCGCGCAGCCGCAATCAGGACACGTGGCACTTCCGGCTCCGGGCTCGCAGCCGCTGCCCCGCCGGCGAGCCCTTCTCTGCCAGCTGGGCTGCCCCGAAGCCACCTGACAGCTCCTGGTGCCCCGACCCCGACGACCGTGCCCGTCCTCGCTGCCACGTCACCGACTCTCACGGCCGGCCGGAAGTGCCATGTGTCACCGCTACGGAAATTCCCGCCGTTGTGAACGTGACCTCGTTCGCAGAGCTGGGATCGTGGGGCAATCTGGGATTCAGTAGCCGCTTTCGTGGGGTGGGACTGACAGTTCCTCTCCTCGGGTTTTGTGAAGATTACCTGAGACAACAGAAGTCATCGTCCTCTGTTGAGACGTACCACTGCTGGTAGCTGGGACGGTTAATGTTCATCACAGTATTTCATTCACATTTCGTCTTCATGTTTCAGATGTAAATTGTAAGGAGTTTTAAAAAGAGGTGGTTAAATATGTGTACGTATTAATAGTGTGATCAAGCCAAGAAGGAGGCCTTTGTCTTTTGACTGGAAGACTCAGAGAAATTTTGATTTTGAAACTCGCTGATTCATAGCATAGTCACACTCAAGTTCATTAGCACATTTAAATGGCAGTTTTGTTTCCTCTTCTAAGAGTTTACAGTAAGGTAAAGAACTCAAACTTCCTTTCAGAGCAAGTAGACTTTTTTTTTTTTTTTTTTTTTTTGCAAGTAGACTTTTTTGACTTGAAGCCAAAGAGAGGTCGAAACTGCGGTGATTAGACAGCATAGTTAATTAATGACTGAGTAATCATTTTGGCTGCCTTCATTCTATTTAGGTTTTTCCTGCTCTGTGCTGACGATAAAGCCCTTCTTTACAGGTTTGTACTGTTGATTAAAATGTCATGCCACGCGGTTTCGAAACCTCAGTGTGAAGTACATCTTACCTAATTCATTTAGTATCAAATGCCTGCTATGAAGTGTTATATTACATACAAAAAAAGCCAGAACTAAACCACTGTGTCAGGCTGGGCAAGGTGGCTCACTCCTGTAATCCAAACACTTTGGGAGGCTGAGACAGAAGGATTACTTGAGGCCAGGAGTTAGAGACCAGTCTGGACAACTGGTAGAGTCCCCTTATCTCTATTAAAAAAAAAAAATTGTTTTTAAGACCGAGTCTTCGTCTGTTACCCAGGCTGGAGTGCAGTAGCGCCATCTCCACTTGCTGCAGCCTCCGCCTCCTGGGTTCAAGCAATTCTCCTGCCTCAGCCTCCCGAGTACCTGGGATTACAGGCTCATGCCACCATGCCTGGCTAAGTTTTGTATTTTTGGTAGAGACAGGGTTTCACCGTGTTGAAAAGGCTGGTCTCATACACCTGACCTCAGTTGATCCACCTGCCCCAACCTCCCAAAGTGCTGGGATTACAGGCGTGAGCCACCGTGCCCAGCCAATTTTTAAAAATCAAATAACAAATTTTAAGATCTTGTCCAGTGTGGTGGCACATCCCTGTAGTCTCAGCTACTCAGGAGGCTGAGGTGGGAGGATCACCTGAGCCCAGGAGTTCGAGGCTGCAGTGAGCTATGATCTCACCACTGCACTCCAGCCTGCGTGACAGAGTGAGATCCTGTCTCTAACAAAAGAAAAAGAATAAACAACTGTGTCAGGCCTAAAAACAGTCAGTAAAAATTCAAATAACTAAATACTAAATTTTATACTAACCCTGTTTTCATCATTTGCCTCAGAACTTTACTAAAAATGTATTTGCTCGGGTGTGGTAGCTCACGCCTGTAATCCCAGCACTTTGGGAGGCTGAGGGGGGCAGATTACCTGAGGTCAGGAGTTCAAGACCAGCCTGGCCAACATGATGAAACCCCATCTCTACTAAAACTACAAAAATTAGCCAGGCATGGTGGCACATGCCTGTAATCCCACTTGCTCAGGAGGATGAGGCAGGAGAATTGCTTGAGCCCGGGAGACGGAGGTTGCAGTAAGCCAAGATTGCGCCACTGCACTCCAGCCTGGCCGACAGAGCAAGACTCTGTCTTTAAAAAAATAAAATAAAGATAAATAAGTAAATATTGGCTGTAAGTAGCATTGAACAATTCAATTCCTTTGGTACAACATCCAAAGTACTCGCGCGCGCTCTCTCTCCTCTCTCTCCTCTCTCTCTATATATATAATATATATATTTTTTTTTTTTTTTGAGACAGTCTGTTGCACAGGCTGGAGTGCAGTGGTGCAGTCACAGCTCACTGCTGCCTCAAAACCTCCTGGGCTCAAGCAGTCCTCCAGCCTCAGCCTCCTGAGTAACTGGGACTACAGGTATGTGCCATTATGCCTGGCTAGGTTTTATTTGTTTATTTGTTTGTTTTTGTAAAGAGAAGGTCTCACAAGAGATCCTCCTGCCTCCTCCTTCCAAAATGAGATTACAGGTTTGAGCCACCACGTCCAGTTAAAATCTTCTTTAAGATGAAGATGATACTTATGGTCAAATTGTTTTCAGTTTGGAGCCACTATAACAAAATCCCAAATTATAGACCCAAAAACACTTTAAAATTGCACAGACACAAGCGTCTGAATGTTTTGAAGAGGGAATAGAGCTCAGAGAGAAACAACCCTTCTGAGGTCAGACAAAATCAGGGTCACTCTTCAAAGAGGCAAATACCTGATCTCAAACCTGCATTAGTTTAATTCTCTCTTTTTATTCAACTCATTTTGAATGACCTTGATTTGTTTTGACCTTGGCATGGTGGTTTGATTTGGTTAAATCAAGCTTTCTTTGAACTTTGTGCTATTTAAGCAGTATCTTTTTTTTTTTTTTTTTTTTGGAGACGGAATCTCACTCTGTTGCCAGGCTGGAGTACAGTGGCACAACCTCGGCTCACTGCATCCTCTGCCTCCCAGGTTCAAGCTATTTAAGCAATACCTGTGTGTTCAGATATTTATTTATTTATTTATTTATTTTGAGAGGGAATCTCGCTCTGTCGCCAGGCTGGAGTGCAGTGGTGCGATCTCGGCTCATTGCAACCTCTGCCTCCTGGGTTCAAGTGATTCTCCTGCTTCAACCTCCTGAGTAGCTGGGACAACAGGCGCATGCCACTGTGCCCGGCTAATTTTTGTATTTTTACTAGGGACGGGGTTTCACCATGTTGACCAGGCTGGTCTTGAACTCCTGACTTCAGGTGATCAACCTGCCTTGTCCTCCCCAAGTGCTGGGATTACAGGCCTGAGCCACTGCGCCTGGCCCCAGAGATTTTAAAAAGTACTCTAGTTAGTTAAATCAGGTTAAATCAACGTAAATAATTTGCTAATAAGTAAATAATGCTTTTTCCAAAATTTGTTCCACCCATAAGTTGCGATGTTACTGTTAGTGTCCTCAAAACAATGATTAAGTATTTCAAATGGTTTTTACACTCTCAGTGTAATCAGCACTACAGTATTGAGGAGAGCTGGGCACCGTGGCTCACGCCTGTAATCCCAGGACTTTGAGAGGCCGAGGCAAGTGGATCCCCTATGCCCAGGAGTTGGAGAACAGCCTGAGGAATATGGCAAAACTCCATCTCTACAAAAACATACAAAAAATTAGCTGGGCATGGTGACGTACGCCTGTAGTCCCAGCTACTCAGAAGACTGAGGTGGGAGGACCGCTTGAGCCTGGGAGATTTAGGCTGCAGTAAGCCATGACTGTGCTACTGGACTCCAGCCTAGGCAACAGAATAAGACCCTGTCTCAGAATATATATATATAAAAAGAGAGAGAGAGAGGAGAAAAATGGCATTTCTCATCTGCCTAACCTTTCGGATAGTAGAAAGGTAAGTTTAAGTGAGATGGGACAACATATTTTAAAAGTTAAGTAGCTTTCATATTAAGTATTATCCACACAATATCAAATCCTTTGATGACTCCTTTAAGTGTGGCCACAAAAATATGAAAAAATTATTGGTGATAGCAATTATAACAGTTGCTCTTGGCCAGGCACCATGGCTCACGCCTGTATTCCCAAGGCTTTGGGAGGCCAAGGTGGGTAGATCACTTGAGGTCAGACATTCAAGAGCAGCCTGGCCAACATGATGAAACTCTGTCTCTACTAAAAATACAAAAATTAGCCAGGCGTGGTGGCCGATGCCTGTAATCCCAGCTACTCCGGAGGCAGGGAGAATCACTTGAACCTGGGAGGCAGAGGTTGCAGTGAGCTGAGATCTTGCCACTGCACTCCAGCCTGGGCGACAGAGGGAGACTCTGTCTCAAAAAAAAGAAAAAAAAATTGCTCTTAACCAATTGTTATTGATATTTCTTTGTTCAATTACCTGTATGTACGCTATACTACTATACATTTTTCTAAACTGATGTCAGTATATATTCTACTTTTTTATCTTTATTGTCCAGAAAAACAGAATCCTTCTGCTACATATACAACCTTCATAAGGCCATTTTCTGCATATTTTCAGAGCCTTCAACCCTAGTTAAGAAAATTGTAGGCCCAGCACAGTGGCTCACACCTGTAATCCCAGCGCTTTGGGAGGCCAAGGCAGGCAGATCACAAAGTCAGGAGTCCAAGACCAGCCTGGCCAACATGGTGAAACCCCCGTCTCTACTAAAAATACAAAGTAGCCAGGCGTGGTGGCAGGTGCCTGTAATCCCAACTACTCGGGAGGCTGAGGCAGAAGAATCCCTTGAACCCGGGAGGCAGAGGTTGCAGTGAGCCGAGACCATGCCAGTGCACTCCAGCCTGGGCAACAGAGTGAGACGACTCCATTTAAAAAAAAAAAAAGAAAGAAAGAAAATTATAAACAACAAAATAAGTGACAAGAAACTGTTCCAGTAAGGATATAAGCACTATACTAAGAATATTCCATTACATTTGATTATTTAGACTCAAAACTGGGAGACAGGTATTTCTAATGAAATTTGCTGATATGCAGAAGTGAACTTAGGCTCCCACCAGAGCTCCTTTGCCTGGCTGTTCATGATTGTTGCATTTTCAGGTGGTAAATAGGATCAATTTGATTTACTTTTCAGGAAAGGGTAAATTATTTTAGGTTCTTTAATTATTAAAAATAAAGACTGTTCAGCCGGGCACAGTGGCTCACACCTATAATCCCAGCACTTTGGGCGACCGAGGTGGGTGGATCAAGAGATCAGGAGTTTGAGACCAGTCTGGCCAAGATGGTGAAACCCTGTCTCTACTATAAATACAAATATTAGCTGGGCGTGTTGGCAGTTACCTGTAATCCAAGCTACTCGGGAGGCTGAGGCAGGAGAATTGCTTGAACCCGGGAGGTGGAGGTTGCAGTGAGAGCCGAGATCCTGCCACTGCACTCCAGCCTGGGTGACAGAGCGAAACTCCCTATAAAAAAAAAAAGAAAAAAAGGCTGTTCCATTTCTATTTCAAACAAACAAAGAACAGTTTCAGTTACAAACAGGTTTATAAGAACAACAGTTTTGTTTACTGAAACTGTCTTGTGGTTCCTTTTTAAGAACAGTTACTTTGGCCTCATTTGCTTCTGACAGGACAGCTGTTTGTATCTGAAGTCAGCAGCTCTGAGCTACATCACAAGTACATTCATCCCCACCAGGCCTGAAAATCCCATTGCTTTCTTTGAAAACTTCTCATTTTTATGTAACTCTTACCATTCTTCCTGCCCATTCTGGTTACTTTTCATCATCTTGCACTTGAACTGTTGGGAATGAATAGCCTTCTGGATTGCCTCTCTCTAATCCAACCCACATGTTGAATTGAGTTCCTGAACTACTGATTCCATTTTTTTACTTTCCTATACTCCCAGATCTGTGATTACTCCCTCCACTTGCTCCATCAAGTTAAAATTTTTCTGCATGACTTTTCTCATCTCAAGCTAAGTAAAATCCACAGTGCTACCC